GGTGCCAACAGGGGCAGCAGGGACCTGTGGAGGTCCACCTGGCTAGCGTCCTCTCAAGGAAGGAGGTGAGACAAGTGGCGGGAGGGAGCTGCTATTTGCACACACACCGCGTGCTGGCTGGACTCGGCCTGTCAGATGTGCTGTGGACATGGTGCATGTTTACCAAATGTGCCCTCGTCTCTTTAGGGCCCGACTGCGGCTGCCAGCCCTGGGTGCCCTGGCTGACACACCTTGGGCAGAGGTGTGCCAATGGGACTTGGATCCCCGCAGACCCTGTGGGGCTGTTCCCCGAGCCGGAACATTCCCAGAGAACTGTGTGGAAAGTGCCCTGAAGACCCCTGGACGGCAGACGCTGAGGGAAGGAGTCATTCTGGAGAGCAGGGCCTCCTCGGGTCACCGGAGGAGGACCCCACATAGGCTTTCAGGGGCCCTGCAGTGAGCAGTGTGGTGACAGGAACACCCTTTTCACGCCAGAGATCAGTCAGCTTCCTGGGAAGAATGTAGTAGGGTGGTGAGAATGGCTGCAGCAGCCCACGGGGGTGCAGAGCGAAGGTGGCAGCAGAACGGATTCCAGCAAGGTGCTGGCCTTGCCGACAAAGGGAACCTGAGGACAAGGTGACAGCAAGTGGAAGTGCAAGGACAAGAGGGGAATAGGCTGGTCTGCTCTCTGAAGTGTGCCTTTGCCTCTTGTGGACAGAGTTCAGCAGGGGACAGCAAACGGTTCTCTGAGTCACAGGGAAGCCTGTGGTTAGGGCCGGTGGGAAGGAATCAAAATGAGCACTCCGGCAAAAACGGGGGCCCTGCAGGCATCACCCAAGTATGTTCTGAAGTGTGGTTACCGAAGAAAGACAAGGGGAGGCACAGAAACACAGCCCTGCCATAGGAGCTGGGGGTTCCGTGGGGGCAGACCCTGGCCCAGGGCCAGCCTGGTGGGGAGTGTGGAGCAGGAGGTGGCACGTGGACATCACCGATGCTGCAGGGACCCTCAAGGCGAGCAGGCTCAGGGTGGTCAGCACAGCGCTTCTGGTGACAGTCCCTGGTGTGTGGGATGCCCCTCTCACCCCACAGCCATACTGGACCCACATACCTGGCCTGTGCCTACACTTGCAGCAATTCCGGGGGAGCTGCTGGGCAGCTCTCGAACTTCTCACAAGCTTTGCAGATGGCCCTAGGTTCTTCCCCACTATTTTGCAATAATTTTCTATTTATAGAAGGCCTGGAGAGGGCAGTCCGAAAGTGGCCCTCTACTCCTCTGCTGGCTTTCCCGATGGCACTTTACCTGAGATGACGCCACTGCACAAGCGTGAGGCCAGCCCTGCCTATTCAGCTGCGAAGGACATGTGCCAAATGCACTTACGGCACTGCGGGGCTCATGGACCCAGGAGTTGGGCAGGAGTGGCAAGCAGGGCGAGGGGGCAAGCGAGGGTCTCGGTGTGCAGGGCGGGCCAGGGCGCCCAGGTCACCTCGGTCCCAGCACAGTGCAGGTGAAAGTGCAGAGCCCAGCCCTGCTGTGGGTTCCTGTGGGAGAGACCCGATGGAGAGAGAGATAGCAGCTCGGGGCACTGACAGTTTACAAACTTTCTCAGAAAATGACTAACATGTGTCCAGAATGTGTGTGACTCAGCACAGTTGCTCCCAGAGCTGCGAGGAGCGGGGCAGTGACCGAGCTCAGCTCCACAGGCACTGCCGCAGCACCCAGGCCGACGCCAGCAGGCAAGGGCGCTGGCTCAGACAAAGTCCGTCTTTGTCCTAACTGCTGCCCTGTGGAAGCCCGAGAGGTAAAAGCCACCATCGCCAAGGACAGGAACAGGATGACGCCCTCCACTGTCGCACCCTTGGGACCACCAGTCGGCCTGGTGCACAAAGGATCAGACTGGGTTCAGGTTCCCAGTGCACACGAGGCCGGAGGAGGCGGACACTGCTGGGAGGCCTGGGTTCCCAATGGGAGGCTTTAACTGCTCTGCATGGTGCTCTGCGCATTCTCTAATGAGTGTCTGCAGTTTAAAGTATTCAAAATTACCTGAGTTCTATTAAGAAATGATTTTCTTTCTTTTTTTGAATGAAAGTATTTCTAGGATTTTCTTACAAATGAAACAATGCTGAGGTTTCCTGAAATGAAGCGGATTTAGCGGTGTCTCTGGCCTGGCTGTGTGAGGGCGCGGGCATCTTGTCCTTCTGTCCAGTCATGTGGGCCACCAGGGTGCAGGGTGGCTGGGGGCCCATAGGAAGCAGCTGCAAAGGCCTTCCTCTGAGCGCACACATCCCCTCTCAAGGGACAGTCACGCATAGGCATCAGTGAGGCGGAGGGCTGAGGACCGACAACTGCAGAGGCCACTGCAGACCACGACGACCAGACAGCGCGTGTGGGGCCGGAGTTTGCCCCATGAGTAGAGAAGGTGCAAGCTGGTGCCCAGGCTCCAGGCGCCTGCTTCCAGGAGGGAAGATGCCACTTCTGACTTCTGCTAATGGGACACTTTGGATGGCTTCTGAATAGGAACTTGAGCATATGGCACTGCCTTAGAGTGAAAAAACCACAAAGCAAGCCCTGACATTAGCACACTTCCCTGCTTTGAGAAACCTCCCTGGAGGTGGGGACAGGGAGAGGGCCAGCTGCCCCCTCATTTGCCGAGTCAGCGGAGCTGCACTGATGCGCACAGGAGGTGCTTGCATCGCAGGGCAGGAGCAGCTCTCCCTGGGCCGAGGGGCACTCTGAGGCAGGAGGACCACGCCGGGGGACCAGTCTGCTCTGCTCCCGAAAGCGAGCATGCGACACTAGCTGACGCACTCCATTTCCTCCAGCTGCCCTCTCCTCCTCAGTACACACCCCAGGTGTGACAGTCCTGTTCACCGCACGAGGAACCCAGTCTTGTGCATGGAGGTCCTGGAAAAGGATCACGCGGTCACATGGGACGCGAGGTGCGGTGCACGCAGGCTCAGCTGCGCAGGTGCAGGGGGGGGGGGCGTCTGCTCCAGGCCAAGGCCCTGCAGGGTGACAGCTGTCCTGGGGCCCGCACAGCTACTGCATGAGCTCCTTACAGTACACAGATGGCCCACTGCTGCTCTCACTCACTGCAGCAGCACTTCACCTGACAGCAGCTTTACTAGTTTAAGACAAAATGACATGGGCACCGGGGGGAGGTGGTGGGGGTTTGTCGATTTCCTCCTAAAAATCTAGGGCGCTGCTGTTATAGCTTTAACCAGTTCTCTGAAGGTGGAACTGGGTATAAAGTATCCCTTGTGCACCTGCTCAAGGGCCCGGCACCCTCGCCCGTGTACGTCGGGGACCTGTCTGCATCCGGCTAGGGTCGTCGGATCTCCCTTGCCGCTCTCCACAGCTCAGCGGGCACCTGGAGCTGCGGTTCTGAGCTCTCAGCGCCGCCCAGGCACGGCGTCGCTAACGCTGCACCCAGGGTTCTCAAGTCCAAATCTCAGCAGAAGTATCAGGAGTTCTAGGAAAATCCTCTCACCAACTTGTCTGCCTGCTATCTGTCGTCCCTGGCAGTGGCGGTGGACAGGGCTTGCTGGGGTTCCCTCCCTGCTGCAGCGTGGAGCGAACTGGACCCATCCCCATCACTGCCTGGAGCAGCTGGGGAGCGCTGCTGCTTGGTGGCGCTCTGCTTCGGTCTCGAGGCCTCCAGCCCCGAGCGTGCGCCCTGGTGCCAACTCTGCTGCAGTCAGGCACCCTCAGTGAGCCATCTGCCACCACATGACGAGGGACACCTCAAGGCATGTGCCTGCGAGGGAAAGTCAGACACTGAAGCCAGACTGCAAGGCCGAGCTCTGCCAGCACTGTTGGGTGGCCTGAGATGAGCTCTCGGACTCCTGAGCACTGGTCTCCCAGTGTGCACAACTCGGACAGCACGAAGGTCTGAAGACTGGTGAGAATGGATGCTGAAATGAGCAGAGGTGGCACAGATGTCACCAGGGGACAGTGGCAGGTGCTCACCCCTCAGCCGTGTGTGCCTCTGGAGCACTTGGGTCAGGGCAAAGTGGGCGACTCTACTACCTTCTGCTCCTGGATTATTCCTCTTCACTTTCAAAGGCCAAAAGTGGGAGAGTGGGTCTCAGCGCCCCGCAGCGGGGACACCACCACTGTGCCAGGAGCCGTCTGTGCACCTGTGTGCACAGCTATTCCTACACACAGCAGCAATTTCCACTGGAACCCATTTGTCATTCAAAACGTCACTGTGAATAACAGATCAGCCATCAGTGTTTTTAAAATTTTTAAAATCATTTATTTATTTGGTACAGGGTATCACTATACAACTTATGCATGGCTTGCTTGGGGTTCTGGGACCAGCACGGCATGAAGTACCAGGGATCGAACCTGGGCCCTTGCACTTGCCAGGCAGGAGCTTAGACCACTAAGCTATCTCCCCAGGCCCTTGGCAATCAGTTTCTACATAATGGGATTCCATGTTGGGACTCAGGCCTGTCACACACAGAATACACCTTTACAAAAACCTGAGTAGGCTTCTCACTCTCGCTGGAATCTCGCTGGATGGGCTGTACGGCGAACTCGGGGTGCCGCCTGGCCGCGCTGCTGCTTCCGGTCCCGCAAGGACAGGTGGGCTGGAGACGGGCTCTCCCTGCGTGCCCAGACGTCATCCAGGTCCTCCACCCACTGGCATGGTCTCGCTCCGCTGTCTGTCCCCTTTTCCTCTCGTTGCTACTGGTAATATCCGGGCGCTTCTCCTCTCTCTTTGATCTCTTCCCAAATTTTGTCTTCTTTTAGGTTTCTCCAAACATTTGATTTGGTCACGTATATTGTAGTTTTGTTTCTTTCCATGCCGTTTTTAAATTTTGTTCTTCATCTCTTCTGAGGCTCGTTCTTTAAAAGGTTTTTTTTTTTTTTTTTTGGCAAAACCAGGCTTTATTTTGGAAAAAACAATTGAATTGGGTTTTGGTGAAGAGCACGGGCAAGAAGGGGTACCGCAGGCAGTGATGTCCCCCAAGGGTGGGCTGAGGGCTAAGCCGAGCCTCAGGCGGGTCTCTTGCTCTCAGTGCTCCCTTGTACAGCTGTCTCCCCACGGGCTCTGGGGTGGCCTCGTGAGAGGTGCGGGCTGGAGCGGCTGCTGTGGCCCACTCACTTGGGCAGGACATCCGAGCGAGGTCTCAGACACCAGCTTTCCATCGCAGGTCTCGATCTTCTTCACAACCACAGCAGACTTGGTGCGGGTGAAGCCAGGGCTTTGGATGCTCGCGAAGCCAGGGCTTGTGAGGCCCCCATAGGGTGAGCTCACCATTCCTGAATAGCCACTGGTGGTCTTCGTGTGGATGCTCAAGTTCTGCATCCCAGCCTCCAGCCTGTTTTCCTCGCCCTCCAGCAGCTTGCGGTAGGTGGCGATCTCGATGTCCAGCGCCAGCTTGACATTCATGAGCTCCTGGTACTCGCGCAGCTGCCGGGCCATGTCCTGCTTGGCCTTCTGCAGGGCAGCCTCCAGCTGGGCCAGCTTGGCATTGGCATCCTTAATGGCCATCTCCCCACGCTGCTTGGCATCAGCGATGGCAGCCTCCAGGGATGCTCTCTGGCCTTTGAGGGCCTCAATCTCCGCCTGCAGGCGGCTGATGCTGCGGGTTATCTCAGAGATCTCAGTCTTCGTGCGGCGGAGGTCATCCCCATGCTTCCCAGCCAGAGTCTGCAACTCTTCATACTTGATCTGGTACATGCTCTCAGCCTCGGCACGGCTGCGGTTGGCGATCTCCTCGTACTGGGCCTTGACCTTGGTGATGATCCCGTCCAGGTCCAGGGAGCGGCTGTTGTCCATGGACAGCACCACAGATGTGTCCGAGATCTGAGACTGCAGCTCACGTATCTCCTCTTCATACAGCTGCCTGAGGAAGTTGATCTCATCAGTCAGTCCTTCCAGGCGTGACTCAAGCTCCACCTTGTTCATGTAAGCTTCATCCACATCCTTCTCGATGAGGACAAATTCATTCTCCATCTCTGTACGCTTGTTGATCTCATCTTCATATTTATTCTTGAAGTCCTCCACCAGCCCCTGCATGTTGCCAAGCTCCGCCTCCAGCTTCATTTTCTCCTGACCCAGTGAGTCCAGCTGCCGCCGGAGGTTGTTGATGTAGCTTTCGAACATGTTGTCCATGTTACTCCGAGATGTCTTCTGCTGTTGCAGGAGGCTCCACTTGGTCTCCAGCATCTTATTCTGTTGCTCCAGAAATCGAACCTTGTCGATGAAGGAGGCGAACTTGTTGTTGAGGTTCTTGATCTGCTCTTTCTCCTGTATACGCACGGCCTGGATGTTGGGGTCCACCTCCAGATTCAGGGGGTTCAGCAGGCTCTGGTTCACCTGGACGGCCGTGATGCTCCCCACACCACCAGCCCCTCCATAGCCACCCAGCCCCATGCCGCCCCAGAAGCTGCCGCTGCTGCCCATTCGGGAGAAGCTGGAGGAGCTGATGCGGGAGGCAGGCCCGCTGGTGTAGGAGAGGCTGCTGAAGGCCTGGGGGCCGGAGGTGGACACCTTGTAGGACTTCTGGGTCACCCTTATGGACATGGTGGAGGCTAGAGTGGAGGCAGGCGAACTGAAGATAGAGACTGGAGAAAGAGCCTGGCAGCCGCTTCTGGACAGTCTTAAAAGGTTTTTAACGAGTCTTGTGTGTTTGATGCCCGGCTCACAGTCTCTCTTCCTGACAGAAGCAATGAAAGCCAAGTATTTCTCGTGCATGTTTAGGTTTTAGCTGCATTTTACGTTGTAACAGGAGGTCTTTCATTATTGTTCAGTTCTCAATTTGTCTAATTTCTGTGGTTTTTTGGGCTGATGTTATTCAGAAGTCTATTCTAAAACTTCCAAACCTAAGCAGGATTTTAGAAGTTATTTTATCACTGATTTCCACTATAGTTTATTGTGACCAGTGAACTCAGTACCGTGCTATTTCTTGGGACTCACTTTGTGGTTAAGAGGAGGTCGGCTCTCTAGAGATGGTAGACTTCGGTAAGTTCCTCCCACACGAAGCTTGCTAATTGCACTTTACAAATTGCCTTTCATCAATCCCCAGTTCCGGAAAAAAAAAAAAAAAAAAAATTGCCCTTCATTTTGATAGCTTAATCCATCAATCCTGACAAAGGTGTGTTAAAATTATCAATATGATTTTGGATTGTGAATGTCAGTACCATTCAAATTATATAACTTGAGGTTAGATAAGTGTTCCTCAGTTTAGAATAGTGCTATCTTTTGGCAAAGCGCCACTTTACTCCTAAGAACATTTTGCCCTCGGGTGTCCCTTGTGTGATACTAGCTCCACAGCCTTAGATTTTGTTTCATGAATATTTGAAGGCCAAAATTAGACACACGGCATTCAAAGGATTCTCTGCTAAACCTGATGTGGTCAGTAGGAGCATCAGAATCTAACTCGATGGCCCTGCCTGCCCTCCACGGGCACTGACCCGGATCACAGGCCTTGATCACAGGTATGACTGGCTCTCAGGACAAGTGTGAGGACTGCTCGTTTGAACTCCGGGGTCAGGGTCACACAGACGAAGACAACTGCACCTTAAGTTTCAGTTACAGATGGCAGATAAAAACCACACATTAATCTTCGCTCTATCAAAACTGTACAAAAATGACAGTGCAGGGTGTGCTGGTGTTATATGTATGTACAGTATATTCTCCATGTGTCTAGGTACACGCTACGTGCAATCTATGTCACAAGCATGTTATATACCTAACATACATTATACTCAACTGTACTTATCGTGTGTGTGTGTGTGTGTGTGTGTGTGTGTGTGTGTTCCACAAAGTGAACAGCAGAGGAAATAGTAACTAGATAAAACTAAAAGCTCAGGAGCACATGGATGAGTAGAAACCAATTCAGCAGCTCTAGACTTCAAAGTGAGATCTTAGGGCTCGGGAGACAGCGCAGTGGCATAAGCACCTGCCTGGCAAGCCCAAGGACCCTTGTTCGATCCCCAGTACTGCATGCTGTGCTGGCCCCGGGAATGGTGGCACATACCTATAATCCTAGTTCTGGGGAGGCTGAGACAGGAGGACCACTATATGTCTGAACTGTGTAACGAGACCCTGTATCAAAAAAAAAAAAAAAAAAAAAAAAAAGAGAGATCTTAAATTGGCAGTACTGAAAACAAAACCCAACAACCTGAAGCTTGCACTGCAAAGCTCCTAAAAGGCGCAGGCATCTGTGGCCTGGGACTCTGGAAGTAAAGACAGGGCACGTCTGAGGGTGTGTGCCACTGAGTGGCTGCAGGTCCTTTCCTCCACAGAGCAGGGCAACCTCCCACCAGCTCCTGTCCCTGTTCTCAGGAGGCCAAGGTGACTGGATCTAGTGGACAGCAGGGCTCTGACCTCCAGGCCTCCTCCTTCTAGAGCCAAGAAGCTCACACCCTCTTGGGATGAGACTGGGCGAGGCTTCTCTGGAAAGCTGGCGCGTGCCTGCAGCCTGCTGCAGGGCCTGGGTCACCTCACTGCTGAGACCCAAAGCCTGCACAGGGCCTGAGGGCCCAGCCTGCCGTGGCTGTGCTCCTGTTAATGGTGACACAAACCCATGTGCGTCAGGAATGCGGTTTTAAGCTAGGACATCGACTCCATTGTACAAAACAGCAGGATGAAGCAAACCAGAGACCACGCACAAATGACAATTTTCTAACAGAATATTGTTCCCTGAGAATAAATGGGACTATATATAAAAGCACACTCAGAGAAGGTAAACCTTTTTATAAATAGCAATAATTGAAAAAGTCAATACAAAAATTGAAAGGTAAATGTGAAAACTTTTCTCAAAAATAAAGACAAAGATAGAAAAGAAGGAAAAGACCAAAAAGATTTTTTAAGACTAGGACAAGAGATCCAAAAAAGTAAAACTCAAAGCATAAAAAAAAAGGGCACTGGACATTCCAAGAAATAACTTTAGAACACGTCCCAGAATCTGGACACTGGATTCACAGCTAGGAACAAAAGGCACCGCCCAGAACACTAGGAACGGCTGCAGACAAGGAAGAGGAGTGGGGAGGGGACATAGTGGGGTGGGGGTGGGGCTGGCAGCGCCGAGGCTGCTGGGTCAGGACGGAACCCCAGGGAGCTGTGCAGAGGGCTCCCCACAGTCAGAGCCTCATGAGATCCTCCAAGTGCAAGCCCCTGGAGGCTGGGCTCTGCTGAGGGAGGGCCCGGGTGGAAGCCGCGGCGCAGGAGACACAGCGCAGCGGGACACTCCAGGCTGACACCGTGACCAGAGGTCCCTAGTGCACAGCCTTAGCCAGGCTGCAAGGGGCTAGCCAACCCAGGGGACACTATCCCAGCAGCCACATGCAAGGAAGAGGCCCTGCGCCGGCACACATTTCAAGGTGATGGCACATTTCAGATGGAGTGGGCCTGGTGCTCATGAGGGCAACAGGGAGCTGCAGGAGGGCGGAGGGGCATGGCAGGACGTGCATCCGGGCCTGTGCGTGGTACAGCACCGACCCACATGCAGGTCTGAGCAGTCTGGCCAAAGAACACTGGTCTAACCAAATGAACCCCTCAGAGGGGAAGGGAAGCACGTGTGTGTCTGCGTGCGCTCTCGCACGTGTAGCAGCAACGGGCCCAAGAGCGGACTTCTCACATTCTACTCCAGGAAGATCATACTGTCTGAACCAGAGAAAGGGGCAGTAGTGATACAACCTCTAAAGAGCGTCATGAAGGCGAACCCCTCAGCAACGAGATCGGGGGGATGGGCGGGCTGGCAGTAGCCAGCTCTGTGCAACTCTGAGATGGGCACTTAATGCAAGAGTAAAGACTGTCTGACACATCTGCTAACCTCACGGCAGCGCTGACACCCAACAGCCTGGGCCCACACCACAGTGGCAGGGCCGCTGCTGGCTACGGTGCAGCCGGGAGAGTGGGGCGCACGCACCCCACGGTCACGGGATGTCGTCATCTCATTCCCAGCACTGAAGGGAGCCTCAGTGGAAGCCCAGGGTGAATGTCTGTGAAGATGCGGACAGAAAAGGGACTGGGTGGCAGGAGGGGGCAGACCTGGCAGATCCAGGCAGCCGGAGGACAGAGGCTGCAGGAGGAGCTGGCTTCTGCCCCAAGACCAGCACGGCCGAGAGGCACTTTCTCAGAAGCCTGCCATGACTCGGGGGAACTGAGGCCACTGCCCTTTTTTATTTGCTTGAGGCAGGGTCTCATGACACAGTTTTCACAGCCCTTGAACCAGCCGTGATGCTCCTGCCTGTTCCCCATGGGCCAGGACTGCAGGGGCCGGGGGCCACAGGCGCCCAACTCGGCTCCCACCTCCCTCTAACCCGGCGGCTGGGCTTTCTTCTGTGACTCTTGCCCTTGTCTGCAAGTGTACAGCCTCCTTTCCCTGTTCTCAGGACAAGAACTGTGGGGACTCTTGGGCAGTCAGCACAGGAAGGGTTCTGGGTGCTCAAGGCTTTATACCTTGCTAAAAAGTTTGTAGGCAGGTGTGACATCATTTTTAAAAAACATAAATAGACAAATAACAACCACATCAGTGTCAACCGAATTGGTGGGGCACCCATCATGGTTAAAAAGCTGCTGCTGAAAGGTCAGGACTGGTTCCAGGGCTACCCTTGTCTGCTTACTATGCTCTGTGCACGGAGACTTCCGGGTGGCTCTCACGGCACTCAGGGCCTCTTCACAAGACACTCAGGAGGCGTGTCTATACTCTTGTGCTTGGTACCGAGAACTGAACTCAGAACCTTGCACTTCCCAGGCAGGCACTGTGCCGCTGAGCTAGGTCACTGGCCCTGAGACGTGTTTATAATCTTGCCAGATACACAAAGGTTTCCTCATGATCCATGCAATAAAATTAAAAACAATCTGGGTGAACATAAACGAGATCAGCACACAAAGTGCGTGGTGGCCTCATACAAGCAGCACTTACAACACGTGATGGTCACTATAGCTGCAGCTTTGGGTGAGGCCAGATGTCACATACCCAGCATCTCCTCTGGATTCTGTGATCAGCCCCAGTTTCAAGGAACATCTTATAGGAGTACTGACAAGATCAATGTTTAATGGCAAAAATGGATGCTACTTTCTATAGCTATGCATAATTATCTTTAGCATATAAAATAAATTTAGGGCATAACTGTTCTAAAGCACTCTATTTTGGAAACCTGTTCTTGAAACTAGTTGAAATGTGTAACTTTTCAGAAAACATGTTACAATATTTATATGTATGCAACTGATGGCTGAATATCCCACAGCACACGTTCAAAGAGAATCACACACCATCACCCTATACCAGCACTGAAACCTAACTTCTTTCCAAGCACAATAAAGAATAAAGCATGGACAGAAGACAAGAGGATGGATCTCACAAATGGGAAGGGAGACAGAGGATGAAGGGTGGCAGTGGGGATACACGGACAAAAGATATGCACGGCCAGGAACCTAATAAACTCAATGAATCTGAACGTCGTGGGCCGCGAGTGCGAGGTGAGGTTAATATCAAGGAGAACAAGGTGGGGAAAGGTGACTGAGGGGTGGCAGGGAAGGGCATGTGATTAAGAGACCCAATCTTCCCGTGTACGAGGCCCACTCTCCCAGAAGGGCGTGCACACACTGCAAAGTGCAATGATGAACAACTATGAAGAGAACTGCATGCAAGGCTGGTGGAGGAGAATGAGTCAGTGAGCTGCGCCTAACAGAGAGGTTTTGCCCACATCATTTCTAGAATTGGCCACTTCCATGGTGCACCGATATAGAAAGTCTCCGTGAAACCAGATTCTCTGGTGGTTTACAGGAGGCTGGCTCCGCCAACCCCAGCACAGGCTGACCCCAGACCTGGCAGTCCTGCACCACATGCTGCCCTGTGCCTCACACGCCTCCCGCACTGGCTCATTGCTTCTGGCACCCTCGGTGAAATTCGCTGCCCGCCTGGACCCTCCCTGCTTCCCTCCAACTTGTGGTTCCTCCATCTCCTACTAACCACTGAGCTCATCTTCTGCAACTCAAGCAACTCTTGAAATCCCCTTTTCTTCCCAGAAGTCCCGTGACTTGCTGGAGCAGCTGTCCTGAGCCCCTGCATTTGGGTATGGGGTTTTTGTGTCTGTAGCTGAAGTTCACAGTCAGCAACAGACACTCTGGCACACTGTCCTTGGCCCCAGGGAAAGGACAGGAGAAAACGTGTGTCATGCAGGGTAGGGAGCCGGAGGAGGCAGCCCAGCTGCCACTCGCCAGCCACCGCCTGCAGGAGCCTTGTGCCTCCTCAGCGCCTGCGTGTCCTCATCTGCAGTCAAGCACAGGTGGTCGCCCCTGCTCACCAGGCTGCGCCATGCTGAGGGCTGCATGGAGCCTGGCGGATGGCGCTGGCGCGACACCTGATGGATGCTTTCCAACAGCCATCACAGACACAGGACAAACAAGAACTGAAGTATTTACTTTAAACACTGGAAGTAGGCACACAATCATTACATGGTTAGTGAAAATGGTGAAATAAAGATACTAACTGGGGAAAAAAGTCAAATAAATTGTATCTTCCAAAAGATGGATTCTTTATTGGCTGAATGTGGTACATGAGTTAACACTCAGGAGTGTCCTTTTCTCACTTAGTCATGCAAGACACTGTTGTCAATACACTGACGAGACGCACTACGCCACATCCTTCTATGGCTTTCTCTAGGCTGTGTGTAAAAAGGTAAACGTACGTTCACTTCAGTTCCAACAGAACACACATTCCATTTCCCTGTCCCAAACAAGACATGGTTAGTACCATCCCCTGAAGCTACCAGGATTTTCTGTACTACCAGTATTGCTACAGATGTTACACGCAGCAATGGAGGAGGAGGACTCCCAGGGCACTGCTGCTGCATGACGACCACGTGCCTGCCTTGTGTCCTCAGCGAACAGAGTGTCACTCACCCAGCTCTGCAGGAGATGCTTCGAGTGAAGGGAGGCAGAGAGAATGAGCTGCCGAGGGGCAGGCGCTAAGGAGGACAGGGGGTGCCATCCCCGCCGTGCCGTGGGTGTGACCGGCACCCCACACCCGCACGGTGTGACAGCTGACACAGGGCCCAGGACAGAGCAGGAAAGGTAAAGGTCGTACAGCAGAATGTAGCATCAGCTTCTGGATGTCTAAGCCACAAATAGCTGACTCCAATTGTAATAGCTTTTTATGCAGGTAAGTTTCCTAAAATGCACTTGAATTAGGAAACTTAGGGCTTTTATACCAAAGCAAGTTTCTAAATGCAGTTGTACAATATAAGAGAAGCTCCCAAGATGTCTAAGCATAACTTTCCAAACCTCTTATCAATCTCATTGTGGTTCTGGAAATGTGCACGTGGTGACAAGGCCCAGAGAAGTGCTCTCTCGGCAGCAGGCACCACGGCACTCTCCCGGAGGCCCTCTTGCTACTCATGTTGAGTGAGCTAAGGGCAAAAAAATGGGCTTTAACGGCATGCTGAACAGCCACAGAGATCCCATTCTGCTCGGGCACTTCTGGCTGGAGCGACAGCACAGACCACCACCTTTCCATGCTGCTGCTAAGCCGGGGCCCACTCCCATGCGCCCTCAGGTCTTCACCAGTGCTGCGGTGGTGGCCTGGAAGCAGGCGAGCTGCAGGTGCATGCTGCTCTTGAACTTGTTCAGCAGCTCTTCCAGGAGCCTGCAGAGGAGACACGGTGTTACGGCATGGAAGGGGAGACCTGGCCGCCACAGCCACCTTGTGGGCCAGGTGCCCAGCACCATCTTCTGTGGGCCCTTAAGCTGCCAAAGCCCCTGCCTATGGATTCCTGTTAAAGGTCAGCCCAGGGCGTGAGTGGAAAGGGATGTATAACACACACACACTGATGCTTGTTTAAAAACTCCTGCCCTAGATTGATTCGGTTCTTCCCTAAAGCGAAGCAATACCTGAGCCTATTCTTCAAAATTCATTGTAAAAAAAAAATGAACACTAATATCTGCTCTTTTTGTTAACAGCGGTGTGCCTGCTGGCAAACATGGCTGCACAGCCAGCTCCTGGTCGGGAGATAGAACAAGCCTCCTGTGTGCAGCGCTACCCTCTGCCCACGCTTGCAGCCTCACTCATTTTCTACCCCTTGTGGTCTCCCGCCTGTCTGCAGCAGGCACCAGAGCTGCGCCACTCTGCTCTTGGAGCGCCAGAGCCAGGAGAGATGAACTCCCGTGCACAGCAAGCAGGCACTGGGCCTGCAGCAGTCAGCCCTGGAACGCATCCTGATCCTCAGTGGGTCTCATGGGCACTTCTAGGGCAGGGACTGACTCTCAAACACCCCGGCCTTTAAGCCATGTCCAAGGTGACAAGTGCCTATTTTACGTTAATCATGTAAAAAGAAAAATCACTGCATCCTGTTTTACAAAGCTGCCTTTTTTTTTTTTTACAGTTCGCTGTAAGTTAGGTAAGCTTTCTTGTGATATTTCCTGCACCAATTACTTATTTCAAGGAGGTTTTTTTTTTTTTTCTTTTGTATAGGAATTTAATTGAACTCAGGACCTTTTGCTTGCCAGGCAGGTGCTTATGCCACTGATGTACATCCTCTGTATCAGTCACTTACAATTAAAGAAGAACTCATTTCTAAATTAGCCCCTGCCTAACAGAAAGGCTTTCCCACTGGAGGACAAGCCGGCCCAGACAGCAGTGCCCCACTCAAGGCCGCAAGTCTCGCGCTCCCTCCCTCCCCACGGCTGCTGCTGCTCCCCTGGCCGCCTGCCTGTTCGCTCCTATCCCAGCCCCCAGTTCCCAGGCGGTGCGAGCAGAGCTTACTTTTTATCCGCTCCACTCGCGAGTTGAGGCAGGGCTTCCAAAGCCTGTTTGAAACTGGACCTGGAACAAACCAACAAATCACCGTCACCACAGACAGATCCCAGCTCCAAGGAGCAAAGAGGGCCGCCAGGGGATGTGCAAGCACAGCCAAAGGCACAGAACCCACACAGGCAGGGAAGCAAGTGAAGTGGAAGAGCAAACCAGAGTGAAAGCAGGAGGAAAAGCAGCAGAGAGGCTGCGGCTCCTAGCAAGCGGCAGCACAGGAGGCCTGGCCCTGAGCAGTACGTGAAGCCCTCGCGCAGGACACCGCCCTGCGGAGCCACACCTGCTGCGGATGCGCAGCGCAGAGCACAGCTCTGAAACAGTGGGCTTTCCCAGACAAAACCGAGCTACAGACACGCAGCAGCTGTTGAGAGGAGGGCGTGGAAGCGGTGGGCCACCCACAACCTCCACACCAGGCTGGTGCAGACCCTGGCCCGATCTCCTGCCCCGTCCCGGAACGCCCAGATCCTGCCTCTATGGGGTACGGTGACCCTGCATTCTGTGGTGCAGGGATATGGCGAGCTACATTTTTCTATATTTTTAAGTATATTTTCATAAGTTTAAGAATGCAGTATCATTTTTTTTTTACATGAGAAAGGTAAAATGAAAGAATCTGAAGACCATCTATTTGATATGTTTAATTTTTGCCAACAGAAGGTATCAGAAAAACGCCTCAACTAACAGAAAAGCATGTTGGGGAGAAGATTTAGTAGTAGCTTGTACCGCCCACTAGGGTACAAGTTCTGAGCTTTTCTCTCTTCGTGTTTTCTGACGGCTGAGGGAGGAAATGCTCACATTAAGGTGGCCTTTGACTCTGTTCTAAACACATCTTCCTCATCTACAGGAGACACGTTACCGAGCAACATCAAAGTCTGCGCAGGCCTCCCAGCAACATGCAGGACGCCAGGCCCAGGGCTCTGCGGTCCGTGTCGCCCATGCCGGCTGCCAGTGGCTCCTCCATCATCCCACTTCTTATAGACCTCCTCTGGATCCACAGAAACACCACTGTTCTTCACTGTGCTAACGACAGTGAGGACCGCAAAGACCATGCTGCCTGTCAGTAATGACACAGTCCTCTAGCGGGTGACTTGACACCTAGTTAGTTGAGTGCCGGGAGGTACTGCAGGCTGGGCAACCCTGACCTGAGAATCGAAGCCCGACCTGCTCCATCCTGAAACTTTTTGCGCACCACTATGAGGCCATGGTAAAAAAATTCCACAGCAAATGCAAAGGTGTTAAGGGTATCATTTATAACAAGAGGAGGAAGGGCTGGTCAAACAGCTCAGCGGATTAAAGGGCCTGCAAGCAGGCGCAGGCCCGGGCGTTCGATCGCCGGGCCTGCTGTGCCAGCCTCACCCCCAGGGCACGCTGAGACAGCAATTGAGACTGGGCGTGGTGGCGCACCCCGTAATCCCAGCACTTGGGAGGCTGTAAACAGGAGAATCACTAGAGTCCGATCTAGTAGTGAGACCCTAAACACCCTGTAGACCCTTCCCTCAAATACAGAAAAAAAGAAAACAAACAAACAAACAAACAAACAAACAAGAGGAGGTATGGAATGGAGGAGAAAATAACCAAGACATGTTATGTAAGGTGCCAACGCCCAGGCAGCATGTAATCACTACGCACAGCGAACATGCTAACGTGCAGTGCGAATGGAAAAAATGGGTAAAACTGATGACAGAAAATGTAAGTGAAGAGCGAGGTTATGTGGATAGGATGGATACAAAACATGGCTTCATGCTTAGACTTGGGTACTGCTCCTAAGATATTTCACTGCATATATGCAAATATTCCAATCCCTCAACCCTCCAAAGAAAACAATCCGAAGCACTTCTCTTTTCAAGCATTTTAAAAAGGCATATGCAGCCAGGATTACCTCCCTTTTACAGATGAAAACCTTAAGCTCTGGGAGGTTAAGTTCATGGGTGAGATAAGCCCTCACTCCAAGAAGATGAGGACTGGGCTTCCATCTGCTACTCAGCACTTTGTGCAGAAGAGTAGGGGTGGAAAGTGCGGTGAAGCAGTGCATTCGGCAACCATGGCCAACAGGAGAGAGGAGCAACTTCATTAAGAAAAAACTCAGAGGTCTGCAGTCGTAATGGCGACAGCCACAGCGCTGGCACGTGCCAGGTCACCAGACACTGGAAGTGAGTGGTTGGTAGTTTCTGTCCTTCAACACTCGATCTGCACGTTACTTGGCTTCTGAGGCACACTGACTGCAAACAGGTGAGACTGCAAATGTGGCAAACAATTTGTATAGGCAAATTGTTCTGTTTCACTTCACCTACTGATTTTCAATGGTAGGAAATCCTGATGATCACTCAAAACAGCTAAAAGTTATGATCAAATTTCCACTACAGAAATTTTCAGAGAAACCACAAGTCTTCCTCTAACACTGATATTTACAACCGTCCTTCAAGTCTGCTATGAATAGACGAAGACTCGTTCTTTTTCTCTTCTTTGTAAAGAAACGTGCAGTGCTGCCATATTATTCTGGAGACCCATTTATGCCAGAAAACATAAAGTCCTCTTAAGCTCCCTTCCCGTATACTATGCTGCAAGCAGCCGCCCTCCTGGCCCTTGGCTTAGTGTAGGCACACACTGTTTAGCTGAAGACAAGGCCCAAATACAGGCCTCAGCACAGCACGCGCACGCGGGCCTCTGCATGCTCAGGCACCCTCACAAAGCACACCACGCACTGGACAAGAACACCAGCCTCTTACTTGCTTTCTGGTGTCAGGTACACAGCCACGGTGTCTCTCAAGGCACAGATTTCAAGTCTCGCCTGAAAAAGAGAAAAGACATGACAACAGGCAGGTCCAATCTCCACAGGTTGAGGGTGGGGTGCGACAGCACATGGGGACCACTGCCAGCAAGAGACTTGCCAAGCTGCCAGAGGAAGTGGCTATGCAGACATCCTCCTTGGCTGGCCGTGAGCGTGTGGTCAAGTCCGACTGCGAGACAGGCCACCTACCACAACCCCTGTGAGCAGGACAGGAGCAGGCCTCAACCCAGGTCCCCGCCTCACACCAGGGCTCTGCCTGGGGCACCTGCCTCCCTCGCTAGATGCCCAAACGGCTCTACTGGAATTGCAGCTGCACTTCTGTTCCTAAGTGGAAAGTGACAAGCTGATCCTAAAATCTGTTTCACAATATAAGGAACCTAGAATAGCCAAAAGGTTCTTGACACAGCCTGCATTTGGAGGGCCCGTGCTTTCAGATTGCACACTTCCTACCAAGTTACACCAGGCAAGGCAGCGTGGTAAAGACACAAGGCAGGCTTGTGGGTCAGCAGGACAGAAAGCCAAGTGCAGAAGCCAGCACAGCAGGGTCTGATTAAAGGATCTGCAACAAGGCCACCTGCTGGGAAAAGAGGACTCCCTTCAACAAATAACACTGGGACAACCACAAATTCCCATACAAAAGAATGAAGTTGCAATCTATCACTAACTCTAAAATTGCCTCAAAATAGACCTAGTCTTCAATGTAAGAAATAGAAAACTAAAAGCAAGTGTGGTGGCACACTCCTGTAATCCCATTGGTGGGGAGGCTGAAGCAGGAGGTTTGCAAGCTGAGAGTCCAGCCTGGGCAACTGAGTGATGCAATGAGATTTTGTCTCAAAAAATAAGTGCGGCAGGGCTGGGGCGGGCTGTAGTTAGTGTGAAGCCCTGGGTTTAATCCCAGTACTATTAAAAAAAAAACAAAACAAAAAACAGCGCAACAAAAACCCATAAAATAGGGATAAATCTTATGACCTCAGTCTTAAAGAGCATTTGAGATCATACTCAAAGTATAAGCCATCAAAGGAAATAACCCAGGCTTCAGCAAAATGAAACCCTTCTGTGCGTCAATGGACAGACACCATCAGGAGAGCAGGTAGTCCACAGACGGATGCCGCTCCACCCTGTGTCAGCTACCTCAGTGCGGGCGCTGGTGAGGGTATAGAGAAGCCGGCAGCCTTGGGAACTGCTGCCGGGATGTGGGATGGGTGGCCACTTCAGGAGAGTCTCGCATTTCCCCAGAACACCCACATCCTAGCAATTCTCTTAGGTACAAACCCAAGAGAAATAAAACAAATGTCGAACTTTGTCCACAAATATTCACGAAAATATAATTTCTTCAGCTTCTCCCAGCACAGAAAAGGGCTGGCATGCAGTCACATTTTTAGTGAAAATCGTGATAGGTGGAAATGTAGAAGTTTCCATAACAAATCTCCTAACCAAATTAGGAGTGTTCCCTGTGGTACGTTTCTCCACTACTTGATTCTCAAAAACTTCAAACGTGTAGACTGACTTTGTCTGTGACTCCTGTGCTCACAGCATCTCCACTAACTCTACTGAGATCTGCACAAGGAGTCATCACAGCGTCGTGCTGTGGGACATTCCTCAGGCACACGTGGCATTCACTAGTCTGTACTACTTCGTTGGTTCTGTTTTGACTTAGAATTCGCTCACTGCCCAACGGGTAAACAACGCGGTTTTTCGCGAATGTGCCCACCCACTGCCTGCCCTCGGTGCAGCTCCCCAACACCCCCAGGGCCCGCAGTGCCTGCTGCCCCGCTATAGAGATGCCCCGCTCATCCAGCTGTAGAGCCATCGTCACTGAATGCCGCTTCTGAGTCTTGGCAAATACCAACAACCGGCTTACCTTAGGGCTGGCCTCATTTGATTCTATTTAATATTATAAGTATGCCATATTTTCCTTTTTTGTCTATTTTGATTAAATTTCAATTAATTTTAAACTTGAATCTTAGGTGTTGTGAATGCTATTTTGTGAAGATTCCAGATTTTATAATAAGTCTTGAGACGGCTGGTTTTTGCCTTAGCATGCCACTAAATTACAGGGCCCCTCCTGGCATGCCCGGACCACGCCAGCCACTCCAGCAGGGCTGGGAGGGCAGGGCGAGTGTGGACCATGATGTGTGTGTCAGGCCAGAGCAAGGGGACAGTGAGCATGTGGACAGGTGGCCACAGCCCGCTGCTCCCTGCCCGGAGCGCCCACTCTCCTACAGCCATGGCTGTGCCAAAGCTGATGCTTTAAGCCAGGAAGGCCACAGGAGCTGTGCTGGAGCTTCTGGCTCCCTGGGCCTCCTTCAGGCTCACATCTGCAAACAGGGCGGAGGCCAACTGGTGCAGTGCGATTTGTGCTGGAGTCTGTGCATTTATTCAATTATCTGGGTTATTTTAATTAATAATATGTGCATTTTAGACATGATACAGTAGTATGCATTGTCTGCAGAGGCCTGGCATCTGCTCAGCAGCTAGTGGAAGCAGGGCTCTCACTCCATATCTGGGAGGGGATGGGACCCGTGCCAGCTCAGTGGCCACCCTCCTGGGCAGGGGTCACACAGCAAGGCCCAGCCCCCAGCCCTGCCAATGACTGCACACATGAACCGGCCCCCGTGAGCATACAGCGGTCCTGGAGTTGACTGTGAAACTTCACTAACTAGAACCTGAACAAAGCAGCTTGAGCACAGAGACAGCTCTTGCAATTTCTGTGCACACTGCATCAGATGCTATGTTATGCTACTTCCCGAAAACAGGCTGCTAACATTTTTCTGTTAAGTACAATGCAGGGAAGGCAACTGCAAAATAAAGAGTCACAAAGCCGAACGGAACTGCCCTTCAGAAGATGTCACTAGTCTTCACGGCTCTCCTCTACACTGAACACCGAGAAGTGCTGCGCCCTGAGGACCACGCGTGATGGGAGCCCATGTACCCCAAGCAGCTGCTGAGAGGTGGCCACAAACCTAGGGGCCGTGCACCCGCACACCACGCCCAGTGACGCAGCACCTGCAAGGCTCCGTGCCTGCTGAAGGACGCCACACACTGCATCAGCCGGCTCAGCTCCTCAGAGACAGCCTCCACTACCCTGGACAGCACCCTCGGCACCAGCGCCTTGGAGATGGTGAACACCTGCGGGGAGAGGCCAGCAGGACAGTAGCACTTTTCCGGCTGGAACTTGTGGAAATAACGTCACACACGGAGCAAAAGCAGTCCGGGGGTTTTCTAAGCCATGCTCTAAAAGACCCAAGTGATGAAAGACAACTAAGATGAGCTGTACTAACACGCTCTTTAAGAACACGGTGTTAGCAAATGTGACTTTGAAAGGCGTTGCTGATAAGGACAAACTGAAAGCTATTCTGAACTACTGAGCAGGCACAGTGGGGAGCAGCTGTCACCCAGCTGCTAGGGAGGCTAAGACATAGGAGTGCTTGAGCTGAGGGCTCACGCCTGGCTTGGGCAATGCAACCAGAATCTGTCTCTAAAAATCACCCCAGGGGCTGGGGAGACGGCTCAGGAGAATAAGCACTTGTCTGGCAAGTGCAAGGGCCTGAGTTCAATCCCCGGTTCCGCCAAAAAATAAAGATAAAAAAATAAAAATCATCCCAAACAAACAAACAAACCAACATCAACTGGGTGGAACTCTCCTCCCAGACACATACCCCTCCCTGCACAGTGGGCTAATATTTTGTATCTCAGCCAGGTCTTATTATATGCTACATGAAATACTCAATTTCTTTTAATTTACACACATTATCTAACTTTAAAGTTTAACACTTTCAAACTGAGCTATTATATTTAGAAATTTCATGAAACATTTTACTGATTTATAGTCATATTTTCTTTATAGTTTTTCCTTTTTTTGGAGAATGAGCCATTAATTCCTTTGAGTATTAATTCCTTTGATCAGCCCAATATGACTTGAGCATTTAAGAAAACTTTTGGTCATGAGGATCACAGGGCAAACCACAACAGCTCTGGGCACCATTTCACTCTCCCTCTCTGCACCTTGGCATTTCTAATCTTTGTCACTGTCACCGACTCTGGACACTGTTGAGTGCTGCCTTGTTACAGCCAGCAGGTCAGGTGCATCACACTGCCGCCTCGCTGTCACCCAAATACACTCCACTCGTGAGTTCACCGATACGCTGATGTCATAGGCAGCCAGCATTGCCACACTTGCAGTTAACCACAGCTGAACATTACTGCTCATTATAAAGGGGGCTCTGCGCTCAGTGACCGAGGACTGTACTTTCACAGGGAAGTCTGGGTTCACACTTTATTAAGAAATGAAAACTATGGCATACTACACTGCTCTTTGGCTCGAGCTGCTTCATGCCTAGCCCCAATCCAGGAGCCAGAAGCGGTGTATTCCTTTTATTCTGCTGCTCTGTTTTGGCCTTCGCTATCCTTTTCTCTTTCATTCCAGCTTTCCGGCTGGCCTCAGATCCTGCCAGAAGAGAACGCAAGTGAGGTGCTGGACCATGCTGGTGAGGTTCTCATGCCAAGTGCTCTCTCTGACCCATTTTATCTGGCTTCCTGTCAATGTGGGCCCCAGCACCCCAACCTGCATGTCAGCTCGTCTGTGTTCTGGCCCATGGGAGGACCACACATTTTTTCAGCTAAAGGTCTTAAGCTCTTTAATGGAAAGCAGAGTTCCATTTTGTCTGTCACATTTTACTGAATTTACTTTTTTTTTTTTGCGGTACTGGGGATTGAACTCAGGACCCTGTGCTTGCTGGGCAAGAGCTTATTCTACTGAGCTATCTCCCTGGCCCTGAATTTACTTTTAATTATCAGAGAAAACTAATTTCAGAAAAGCATCAGTCAAACGCTACACACACACACACACACACACACACACACACACACACACACACACAGAGGTAAGAAGGCTGACTCATGTTTTCTACACACCCCAGAATTGCTGGGAAGAGGGGAAGAGCGCTGCGGAAATCACTGAATGACCCCCACCGTGGACCCGAGGGCCAGCTCACCTCTGCGTGGACTGCGATTATGTTCACCAGCGCTTCTTTTAAGTAGTTTCTGACACCTGAAAGGGATGGGGAGGAAGAAAGGCACTTAGTGGAAGCACAGGCTGGTGCATGGCACGGTCTGGGGAGAAAAAGAAAGTGAATGCCACCACTGTGTGCTTCCTCCTGAAAGCCAGACATGAAAGCACTGTTTTCGTACAGCTTTAAAAAAGGGTGCACGAAGACTTTTCTTTCACCATGCTTCACTCCTATTGCTGCATACATTCCATTACATTTTGGTCAGCTGGCCTTAAAATTACTATTTAGGTAAGACCTTCCACTTGTCCACACATGTATGAACAGCAGCAGAAACTGGAGTGTGCTAATGCACACCTGTAAGCCCAGCACGCTGGGGAGCTGAGGCAGGAGGGCCACAAGCTTGGGCTCAGCCTGGACAACTTAGTGAGCCCTTGTCTCAAAAGTAACCAAACAAAGAAATACTCAGTGCAAAGGCCCCGAGTTCAGGTCCCAGGGGCGCAGGAACAAAGGGGTGTGGTTTATAAAATGTACACTGAACACCACAGCACCTTCCAGTACTTCCAAAGTTAGAAGTCCACTCAGAACAACTATTTTGATCTTGAAGACTCCCTTTGAGGGAGAGCCTCCCATAAAACCACAGTGTACCTGGTTTTATAAAGCACATTTAAAACTGTAGAAAATAAAAAATGTCATCTGAGGATCAGGCTAAATGAACACTGACCCTCTCTGCGCACCAAGAAGGCTCCTGGGCTCAGGTTCTGGGGTCACGGTGCTGTGACCTAAATGTTGCAGCATCCACTGGCATGACCATGGGCAGGAAGGCTCACCATCAGCCTCCTCCTCTGTCCTCGCGGGCTGCAGCAGGACAGAGTGGAGTGTGCAGATAGTGGCGCCTGCAACATTCACAGGCCTCCCACAGCTTCCGCCACATCACATGCCACCAAAAGTGTTAACAGTGAACTGTGGCTTCACTGTGACCCACAACAGGACTGGTCGGAGTGGGACAGTGAAGAATGTCTCCGGGAGCTCCCTGCACAGCCAGGCATGCTTCCGCACTGTTGGACGATGCCCAGGCACGGGCACAGTGTTCTCTCTGAACACTGGCTGTGCTACCGGGGAATCAAGAAAGCTGAGGCCAAGTCCCCTGACTACAGTCAGTAACTGGGCTTGGCCTTCGCCGCCACTGTTTATACCATGGCCTTGGACTCCATCACACACCGGCACACGAACACGTACGCTGTTGCTCTTGAGGCTTCACACAGACAGTGCACATTTGTTTGGGGGAAGAAGGTTCAGGTGTGGTTAGTGCTACGCCAATGGAGAAGCTGAGAAAAGTGACAAGGAATTAAACTAATTCTTGCTGAGCAAAAGGATCCAACAAAAAGAAGCCATGGGGGAGGGGGCACAAGGACCGACATAAACACAAGTGAAATCCACACTCGGGACCAGAGCAGCTAACTTCCAGGCCACAGGTGTCCCTGGCCTTCCCCCGCCCCCCTTCGACCCTGGCTGTAGTCCGCAGTCCCTGTCCTCCACCTCCGGTCCGGGTCCTCACGTGCCATCTGGTAGAGGTTCAGCTCCTGTCTCCTGACACATGACCGTATGGTGGCCCCGGAAAGGACAAGTACAGCATCTGGCTAGTGATGCTCTCCAGAACCACAATCCCGTCTTCTGTACTTAAGGACAAGTGTCAGAGGAGTCTAGGCTGCTTAGCAATGACACCTGAACTGGGAGGTGCCTTTCCTATATTTAAAATTCTCAGTGTAACAGAAAAATGGGGCATCTTGCTGACTAAAAAGTCAAAAATTAAACTCAAGTGGGCCACAGTCACGTGCTCAGTGACATTCTGCTCTAACTCCCTCTCTGAGCCTCACAGGAAACCATTTCCTGGTAAGAGCCATTAGACAAAGCATTACTAATAACACAGCCCCTCAGAGGGACTAGGCCAAACCAGTCAACACAATTCTATAGACACAGCAGCAAGTACTAAGAACGCAAAGAACACTTTCAGCCAGAAGACTGTATTTCTAGTAAAACATTTGAAAAACTCTAGCTTCCTATGTTAGCTATACTGACAGAGGTTTAACGTAGGTAACATCCATGTATGAAGCGCACAGCCTTGGAAAAAGGCAAGCTGGAATTTCTTGGAGATTTAGCCTGAAAGAGTAGGAAAAAAAGGAAATACATACTCCTTCCCTCACCCTTAAACAAAAAACTTTCAAGGGATAAAAGGTGATATAGCAACAGGAGCAGGAAGACATGCAGTCCCAGGAGGGAGGGGAACTGGCTCCTCCTCAGCCTGCAGGTCAAGGCAGAAAGGGTGGAAGGCCAGCAGGGCTGCAGCGGAGCTACTGTGAGCGCCGGGTTACACAGCTGTGGAAGGTGACGCAGTCTGTGGCGCTGAGCACAGCTGGAGGCAGACCTGGGCGCTAGCTGTGGATGCGCCTGCGAGTTCTCATGCGTTTATCCCCAGTGTAGGAGATCACGTGGGGAGCCCACCAGGGACACCCAAGGTTCCCGGCAGAGGCAGTGAGGCGGACAGTGGGTCTTGAGAGGCACACACAGAGCCCAGAGCACAAGACCCAAGGCTTACATACCGACTGGACCATGACTCAGCGGCCTCCATGTCTGTGTGCTTCACGTAGTACCTACATACAGGGGGTTGTAATAAGGACTGCTACACTGTCTAAAAATCCTTTGTACTTCGATTTAAAATAATGTGAGCCACACAGCTGCGGGCTTTATTATGTGCCACTCTTACTGGCTGGAGAACAAACTCGGTACTATCCTCCGCCCTCTAGCCCAGACCTTCATTCCCACTCCCTCCGCTTGGGCATGCCGGGAGTGGCAACCCGGGGCACCCAAGGTCCACTCCCAAGACCCTATACTCTGACCTCCAATGTCAATGGCCTGAGGAATTTCCTGTGGTGAAATGCTCAAAATCTGATGGTGAGCACATGTCCACTCTGCCAAATACTTGTACCCGAAGTTGGCCCTGATGGGAACTTGCCTGGCTACAACGGCACTGTCCGGCAAGCACTCAGGCTACTGTCAGTCCAGGCTCTGCACCCAGATATGATCACCAGCAGATTGCAAGTGCTCAGAAAGATCTGTACCCCTGCTGAGCACAGGGACTGTCTCTCGCCATCCTCCAGTGTAACAGCCCTGCTCTGCGGGGTGGGGCACAGAGGAGTATCACGCTTCTGCAGACGACCACACGCAGAGCTGGCACCATTCTGCGGGAAGGACTTCAGCACTGCAGGCATTTGGCTCTAGAACCAGGACACACAGGGAGGGGTGTGTGAAGAAGCCAAGACGAAGAAGGCCCAGCCAGACCCCGAGACTCGGAGACCAGGCACGGGCTGCCTGTGTCCTCAGCATGGGCTCTGATTGGCAGCAAGCTCCTTCAGTGAGGGCTTGGAGAGAGACAGATGGACAGACGGCGGCACACATGGGGCATCACCCCGGACGTGGAGCTGCAACGCAAGACCATGCAGTGAGGAGTGCACACACTGTGCTTCGAAGACCTTGGCTGAGCACGGGCAGGACTGGAACACGATTCCTGGGTGCCGGCTGGGGCTGTGACTGCAGGGTCACACTGTGGCTAATTTTGCTGTTCTTCTGCCCTCTGTACTTTAATATGATGAACTTTAATGACCAATGTTACTTTATGTCCACTGAGGTGACAGAAAAGACGTGTGGGATGTAAATCCTTGCTCATCTACAAGCTAATTTTGCAACTTCATACCAGAGTCACCTTTCCAATGACATCCAGCTCCATGCAATGTGAACACTGAGGTACCTCTTCCTAACGATGTGGCGAATGCACAGCCCTCCTGCTTTCTTCACTGTGTGTGGATCTGTCACATAGGTGTGGGATGAAAATGTGGACAGCTACAACCACACCCCTAAGAACTGGAGCCCAGTGGGAAGGAACACCGTGTGCTGTCTAAGAACACACGAAGCAGATGCTGTTTCCTTAGACAAATAATGAAGAGTTTGCGAAAAGGCACCATAAAAACAACACGCATCCCCCATCCTGAAGCTCAGGGTCTGTGCTCAGTGTAGCCCACCAGGCTGTCACCAACTGGTGAACTTCTTTCGTTGGCACAAGAACTGCTATGTATTGAATCTGCATATGAGACCCAAGGACAGCAGTCCAACGTGACTGCCACACGCTGTCACCAGACAGAGGCACTGTGGGCAGCTCTCTCCCTGATCTGGTGTGCACAGAGTTCTGGGAGTTGGAACTGTGAAGACTCTCCCTTCCTCTCCCTTGGTTTTGATGAGAATGGTGACCACCATATGCAAATGATAGACAGGCGCCACTGTACTACCGAGGACATCTGAGCTGGGGCAGAACACCAGTGGACACAGCAGAACTGAACCTTGACCTCAAAGCCATGAGCACTTACTGTTTTTTTTGTTTTTTTGTTTTTTTTTTTTTTGCAGTACCAGGGACTAAACTAGGGACCTTGCACTTGCCGCATGCATTTATGCTGCTGAGCTATATCCCTGGCCCCTGATATGAACACTCACTAATCAGTGCATGGAACAAGTTTCTGCACTGCTCTGATGTGTCACTTTCTTCTGGTAAATCAAAGATGACACAAGGAACAGAGCTATGAGGCAGAGGAGACGCTGCTGGTGGCGGGCAGTGCACGCACAGGCAGGTGCCTGGGCCACCTGCCGCACCCTGTGGTGCAGTGCCCCTTTCTCCCAAGGTGGCAGCTTCATGTTCAGTGGGTTCTGTCTCCTCCGCTACTGGCCCTAGCTCCGCAGATGCCCAACGTCCCCCTTACCCTCGCACCCCCTGAACCTGCTGCACTGGCTGGCAAGCACAAGTTCAAAGTATGCATGAAGGAAGGAGCAAAAGGAGGCGGAGACCAGATCTGTCTAGCTTACAAGTAAAACTCTTGAACTGAACCATCTAAACAAACTGCTGCAGGAGTGATGCCAACAGACACATTAGGGAAAGGCCAGGTAACTGTCCAGGATCACCCCTCAAATGACACGAGGGCCCTCATTAGAAACCTAAGTG